AAAGAAAACCTAATGAGGCAATGAGAGTAAGTTAATGGAGAACTTCAGTACAACGTTGCATCCCAAGAGGTGATAACAAACTTACTTGTTATCTAAATGAAAGGCTGCTGTTAAAGGACTCCTGATAAAGTAGCATGCTTACAGTAACCAGAGGAACTAGTATTGGTATATAAACGTGTATATGTGTTTGTCGGAGGGATAGGATGGGCAATCTCTGTTAGAGAGGAGCTCCGTTATAATCAGGATACCTTACTTGTATATACTGCTTTGTAGTTAACAACCTTTCTTATCCTTTCCTTTAGATGAGTTTTATGGTCCTTCACATCCGTGACTCCAAATCCACAGCTCTGTGCATACACCAGCTTTCAGAATTGAGTGTGCAGAACACAGAGTCCCACAGACCATCCATGGAGTGCTCGGATTAGAATCCAAGTCTGTGTAGCTCCAGGGGTCTCCAGAGCCCTCCACCCTTTATACAGAGGATGATTTGTGTCATATTACATGTCATATGTTATATAAAAAGGGGAATATGTTTGACTCTCAATTGAACCGAGTCTGGGTAAAGTGAGAGTCTCTAAGGCCAACTTTTAAATCCTTTCCCATAGGATTCTATGAGCATCCAGAAAAAGCATCATCCTCCTACATAAGGATTGAACAAAGGACAGAGAAAACCTCCCACCTTCCTGCAGGTGAGCTGGTGACTCTGCTGAGCACCTGCAGTGCCCCGATGAGAGCCAGGACTGCACATCACAGGCACCCGTTCTGGAGTCCAGGTATGGGGCGTTCCTTCTGTAGACGATGCACGTTTCCTTGAAATCATCATTCACAGCATCACGCCTTTTTAATGCTTTTACCTCCACTGAACGCCTAGGTTTTTAACAGCTGAGGCCAGGGCTTGGCAGCCTCGAGTTCGGCCAGGGCTGTGAGGTTGGGCAGGGGAGCCGGGCATGAGAACGCCAGCACCTGGGAAAGGGCAGCCGCTCGGCCTCTGCACGCCCCGGGGTTGGGCGTCCTCCGCCCTGTCCTAAAGGGCCTGGGTGCCGGGCCCCCGGTGGCTCTGGTTACCTGCTCGTATTTCTCCAGCTCCGTATGGTAGATTTGTCTGATCTGTGAGAGCTTGGCTCTGTAATCTGAGTGCTCCACTGAGTTGTCGGAACCGGCCCCTCCGGAGGCCGCCGCCGCCGCCGCCGCCGCCGCGGACCCTCCGCCCTTCTCAGGCCCCGCCACGCCTTCCGCGAGCAGCATGTTGTCCAGCCGCATCAGCTGGGGGTCCGTGGGCTCCTCCTCCTGGGCTCCTCGGATACTCAAAACTACAGGAAAACACAAAGCGAAGGGGGCGTTGGTAGGGACCCGAGGAAGGAAATTAAAAAACAAAACACCGTTGTGTTATTTGGCTAAATGACCCTCCAAGTTACTGGCAAGATGGCATCTGAGGAATAAAAAGAAATGCTGGAAACAGAGAGAAACGGGGAAAGGACTTGCTTTGTTCCAACATTACACTCCACTTGTATGTGGGACCTAGAAAAATCAAATTTACAAGAGGCAGGAAGTAGAATAATGGGTACCATGAGTTGCGGGGAGTGGGGAGCTATTGTTTCATGAGCACAGAATTTCACTTCGGGAAGCTGAAAGTTTTTGAGATGGCTGCAAAATTATACGAATGTACTTAATGCCATTGAACTGTACATTAAAAAAAACCGGGAAATTATATCTTACATATTTTTTTATCACAATAAAAATTTTCAACTAGAAAACTTTATCACAAAACACATTTTTTACTTTTATCCCCAAACTGTCTAATTTCAATTTAAGGAAAAGCATTTCCCACTTTATTTCTCATTTTAAATTTCTGTAGGTTTGTGGCTTTGCACTCATTGCCTTTCTTTGTAATGCTGGATCGGTCTAAATTTTTTATTTCCAAAATAACCTGAGGTACATAAATCCAGTACATTTGGAATGAAATCTTAAGCCCTTTCCTGTGGACTAACAGAGAGTGAGGTCTAACACAGCAAGAAGACAAACTGGCTCTTCAGAAGGGTGGCTTAGCTCCAAAAACTGAGATCTATCTGTTTTGAGTGATAAGGACCCTGTCCTGTTGGAAACAAGGGTGAGGTCCTTTTAACAAGCTGTCTCCAGGGGTTCGGGGAAGCCGGTGCTCTGGTAGGACGGCGCCTCAGATCAATGAGATGGCTGCTTTTTATTAAAACACCAGGACCCTTGGTGGTGATTTGGACTGAAGGAGATCCAGTGATTCAGTAAATCAGCAGAAGAGCGAGACGGTCTTTTTTTTTTACTACCCCTTCAGACAACCTGCCATAAAATAAATCACTCATCTAAATCCAGTTCAGTTGTCAGCAGCCAAGTCTTTGTTAAGAGGGAACATAAAAAGTGTTTTCAATTTTTAAGAAATTGAGAAGAATGTGTGGGTAGGGTAGGAAAGAAGGGAAGTGATTAAAGGCAGAGGAGAGGGGTCCAGTGTAGGTTCACACGTTGGGGACGGAGATGGCAGGGTCTAAGTCCCTGATGGACATCTGCACAGCAGAGCAGAGTCAAGAGCTGTTTCATGGCAGGGTGCATCTGGTGAGCCCCAAGGGGATGGTGCCAGTTCCAGGCGTCCCCCCAGCCCTGGCAAAGGAGGGCTGCGGGTTGTGACAGGGAAGGTGAAGAAGAGCTCGATATGAGGGTATGTCTAGGTGTTTGAGCATTCCATCACTATAATACCAGCATAACTGCTGGCTGTGCCTATGCGCTCCTGGCTGCCAACAGGCAGCACAAGAACCAACCCTGAACTTTGTTCAGAAGGAAATCCCAATTTCTAGGCCAAAAGGGAAACTACAGCATGACTTTCACAGAACACGAGACTGTCAATGGAATGGCGAGCCATGGGGACCAGTGGTGGCCGTAAGGAGCACAGAGGACAACAGGTGCAGGGCAGAAGCTTGGGCTCCTTGAGGAAGTGAAAAAGGATGAGAGGAAGGGAAGGAGAGGGCGGGAGGAGGGACAGCAGGTAGCTGGGGAGGAGAAAAGAAGGAAGCCGGCACCTAGATGCAAACCACACTACTGGGTCATGAGCTTCTCTCTTCAAACCTGCATGTGTAATATTCTGCCACACAGAAACAAAATTGCTATAGTAATGACGGCAAAAGGTTAGATCATTGAGGATTATTTTGTAAACTTTTTTTTTCCAATAAAATCCTTCTATTGTAGGCTCAGGAGACTGAATGGAAAACCGCTTCTTCAGCTGATCTCTGAATAATAAGGATTTAGTCACGTTACTGTTTCTCAAATTTATTTACTCAAATCTCGGAAGCACTCTGAAGAACGAATTTCACTAACAAAGGTTTCCTTAAGAAAGCAGATGCCTGCTGTAATCATTCCCTGAATGGTTATAGGCCCTAAAGGCACCAAAAAGAACTGGTGCATCCCAGCATCTGGTAGCAGCGCCCAGCAGCCCCTCCTTCCTCACCTCTATGTGGGGTTTGTGGGTGTTTCTCTTCTCACGATACATTTTAATTGTCTTATCAACAAAGATATTTATGGACGATTTACAAATTAGAAAAAAAAAAAGAATCACCTCTGAGACATTAATAAATATGGCTGTTTCACTTTAGCTCGATTATTCAGAACATGGAATATTGCTGGGGCAACATTCTACTCTCCCATTCGCTCTGCTGAATCTCATGTCCAATATACTTCCTTCAGAAGGGGCCGCAAGCCTCCTTGGCTGGCAGGGACATTCCCTGCGATGCTGAGGCTGGTAACCCTTTGGCCGGGTGTCAATGCCTTCAAGTGGATCTACCTGGCTATTCCATAGCCAACTGGTCCTGCGTGCAGCCCAACGCTGAGAGATCTTAGGACAACAGCAGCAAAGCAAAAAAGAACGATTTCCTATTAACGGTCAGGACTTCCTTGCCAGGGCTGGCGTAAGCACTGCCTACCTAAGGTGACATCAGTATCCCACCTCCTCCAATCCCACAGGTGCCCCAGGGGGCCTTATTCATCCCATCAGCTTATTCCTCTAACGAAACTCGGTGAGAAATGAAAGAAGGGGGAGGCAGAGAAACAGTTCTGGTCCTGATCCTCCAGGAGCTACGGAGGTGATCACGGGCACGTCACTATTTCCTGTATACCTAATATTTACCTCTGAGAATATTTCCTCTTTCTAGCCCCTCACAGTTTCACGCCTATGCTCCATCTTTTTTAAACAGTCAGTGGGAAGCACAGACAATGCCACACAAACTCTACATACCTCCTCATTAATATTTTGCTTGGCCTTCAAATCTAACTGGCTTTAAATAAAATAAGAGAGGAAACTGCTAAGGCTGACAAAGATCACTGAAAGGATACACTGCAAACCCCTACCCACCATGGAAGTTTCAGGAAGGTGGAAGAGCTTAGAGCAGAAAGCATACTGACTCTTTTCTTTCAGGTCTGAAAGATACATTTAATTGGGCGCAGCGGCGGCGTGTTGGTGGGGTGGGGGGAAGAAAGTGTTAGCATTTCACTTAGCTTTTAAGTCATTTTATAAATCCTGCAAACACATACTCCTGAAAAAGAAATTTGAATTCACTACAATTTAATAGAATTAGTTTCTAAATGTGGCCAATTAGAAATTGATATGATAGATACAGTGCACCACAGCATAAATGTTGCTTGCATTTACACTCAGAGTTCAGGACACATAAATACGTCCCAAATCAGAGATCTGAAGAAAATAAAAGAATGAAAAGACAAGGGGGAAAAAAGCCAGCAACAGTCATTTCCAAATTACACCCTTTAAATTATACTCAAATTACGAAAATCGATAATGATTGTGCAAGAACCAAAAAAAGTTTTTTAAAGGAACAATATCAACAAAAGAAAACCTTAAAAGAAAACCTTTATCTTGCACTATTTGGCAAAGAAGATTCGGTTCTGGAGGACTTGGGCTGTGTCTGTAACACTTGGAGGGGGCAAGGATGGACCAATAAACAACCTTGCACGCTCATATTTGCAGCCAGAACAAGGAGAATCAGAATGGGTGTTGGGATGCACTGATACAGAAACTGTTCAGCTCGGCAGTTTAAAAAATCCCACCAACATTAAATAAATAAATGAAAAGGGTGATATGTCTAAGCAGAACTGATACTACCTATTTATTGCTTGAAGCCAGTACTCTGGTGAGTAGGAGACAAAATGATTATTTAAAAGCTCCTTTTTATCTCTGCAGCACCATGCAAGACTCAAATGAACCTTTCGCTGGGACACCAGAGATGTTAACACTCATCCTCCAAGATCCAATTTCAACCAGCGGAGCTGTTACCTAATCCAGCAACCATCACATATGATCAGGTTCCTGCTTCCCTGATGGGTGCCCTGCGCTCTCTCCCTCCCCCTCACCTCTTTCCTCCCCACCCCAGCAGCTTTTTCTGAAATAGGTTTTAAAGGGCCAAATCCTCTGTTTCTCCCCATGCATATAGGGTTTTAATGGCCAGGCAGGCCCGGACACCTCCACTACCCAAAAAAATTGTCATCAATTGCAGTGGATATGCAATCCACAGAGGGCTTGCCCATGAAGATATTTAACCCATTTGGTAGTAATTCTTATAGAAGGAGTTTCCTTCTCACAAATCCACCCAATTATGGAAGAGACCAGTTGAGACAGGTAGGTGATTTACACAGGAATTGTCACAAGCCCTTAGAAAAGCTTCTGATGTCACATGTGCTTTGCTGCTATTGCTTGCCCTGGGGTTAATTCTTCGGTAAAACTCCTGAGATAAGGGGACTGTCACAGCATTGTCGGAGCTGCTCTCACCACTGGTCTCCTGCTGTTCTTTCTTCCTTTCTTTTTCTTTACATAAGGAGAAAAACAAACCAAACCCAAAGGCATAGTCAAGATCATCCTTGGCGGGAGGGCTGCATGCGAGTTGTTTTGTCCTTGGCTGAGCGACGGGGGTCCGGAGCAGCCCCAGCCAATGCCCACTAGAGGGCACTCTTTCTTCACCAAGGACTGGTTCTCCAGGCCGGTGAACAGTCTGGTCTCCAGGTTAGTGCTGGGGAAATGCCTCTGCTCACATTCAAACTTCCACAGGTGGGGGCAGGTGGGGAGGGGAGGAGAGCAGATCTACAGACAGGGTAGTCTTCAGATTTGGACAACAGTCCAGGAGCCCAAAGCTGAGCTGGGAGAGAGAAACAGAGATAACGAACAAGACAGACAGCAGAGAGGCAGGTGGTTTCGGGAAGGGCACAGGTGGCCTCCCGAAGGTGTGTGCAGAAGGCAGGCTCTCTCTGGCTGACCTCTTTGTTTGATACCTAGGCACAACCCTCTACA